AGTTTCTCCACAACCTCGCCAGCATTTGTTGCTTGCTGTTCTGTTAAATTTTGCTATTTTGACTGGGGTGAAATGATATCTCATAGTTGTTTTAAGAAATATTTTTGAGTTATGGTGTTTGAGAAGAGTACTGAATATCCCTTGGACTTCCAAAATAACAAATGTATCTATTTTAGAGGAAGTGAAATCAGGTACTCTTTAAAGGCAAGTCAAGGATGGTAAAACTTGGTCTCACATATTTTAAGCATGTTGTCAGGAGAGCCATTACTTGGATAAAGATATTATTCTGGGAAAGTTGGAAGGTTTGAGAAATAGAGGAATACCCTCACAATGATAGATTGACACAGTGATTATAACAGTGGGATCAAGCATATCAGAGATTGTGCTGGTGGTATAAGTTTAGGGCAGAGTTCAGACCTGTTATTTATAGGGTTGCTGTGAGTTGCAGTAGACTAGCTGGCATCTAACAACAGTTTTGAAAGAGATATCCTAGTGCCTTGGCAGAATGAGCTTAAACATCTAATTAAGCATCCAGAAGATTACTTCATAATTTGGGAACATATGCACAGTTAACTGTCTTTTGTTTGAAATATCTTGAGTCCCTGGTGAAAGAGATTAATGCGCTCTGCATCTGCCTGCAAGGTAGGTTGGTTTTGAGTCCATGCAGAAAAGTCCAAGGAGAAAGGCCTGGAGACTTACTTTTGAAAGAAAGACCCGTTGTTGAACAGCCTGCATAAAGTCACCGTAAATCAGAGTTGGCTAGATGGAGTATGTTTTTTTTTGCATACTCTGTACAAAATAGATGAACTTTCAAAAAAGCAGGCAACCATTATGCAGACAACTTTGAGCAGATAAAAGCATTTAACTCTTTTTGTGGTTTAGCTTTTCTTTTTTCTGATGTTTTTAGTGAGCTGACTCCTGAGTTGTTGTGGACCTCTGTCCTACTTCTGTACACTGGCACTATGTGTCCTGTCCATGTGTCCTTGGAGACACTGCTGTGTGCTACACTCATGCTTGTGTCCACTTCTGGGAGTACAGGTAAGTGTGTCAGGACAGCATGGCTCCACCCTGATCAGTCCTGGGAAAAACAGACTTTGACTTCGGTGCTTTGTAGAAAATGGTAATAATCTGAAGGTAGCTGTGACAGTGTGGCCTGAAGGAATTTGTGCTGCTAATCCAGAGGTCCCACCTCTCTGGATGTCACTAGTTTACTCCTTGGTAGACATCTGATTGGTCTCCTCCTTTTGCAACCAACAGTTTCAGAAACCCTCTGGTGGGTTGCTGTGAGTCAAAATTGACTCAAGAGCAGTTTGAAAGATGTTTCTAAGATTTGTTTGCTCAGCTTCATGACTTAACAGTATGACTGTTGTTGTTGTTGATTGCCTTTGAGTCGATTCATAGCGACCCTATGAACAAAATGCCTGAAGCCTCTCTACAGCTATCAACATTTATCATAGAGTGTCCGGAGGCAAGTTGTTTAGGAAGTGGATGCCACTCCTGCTACTGAAGAGATTTTAGGACCTTAGCTTAGATCTCCTAATAGTGCTTTGGGGCATAAAAAGAAATATTTGCCAAACAAGCATTTTTCAAATTTCATCTTTTGGAAAATTCCAAATCTGGAAATTATTGCAGGAATAAAATGCTGACTACACACAACCAAATAGATGTTTACAGTTGGCATGTTGTTGTTGTGTACCCTGGAGTCAGAACTGACCCAGAGTTGACTCTCTAGTGGGTTTTCAGAAGAATTAACCACACAGGAGAAGAATGTCCATCTTTCTCCCAGGGAGCAATGGTGGATTTAAACTGTGTGCCTTTGGGATTGCAGTGCAGATTCTTACTACTAGGCCACCAGGGCTCCCAGCATAGTATTAATCAAATATAGAGTAAAAGAACTTTGCTGTCTTCCCCAGTGTTATCACTCTTTATATTATTGCCAAGCTTAAAAGTATTTATTTTTAAATATTTAAATAAGCACTGAGCCCAAGACTTGTCACGTGTTTTATTTTATAAAAATATGTATATAAGATATACTAAGGATGTTTACTCATTAAGTAATACTTATTATCTTTGATATATCAGAATTGGTAAGGACAAGATGATATAGTGGTAGTGTTTTTGCTTTTATTCTGCTATAAAGTCACCTCAAATTCAGCCAAAAGGGATACTTCCCTTAATCTTAATTTCTGATTCAATGTCTTATAAAAATAGATACAATAATTTATTGATTTATTTCCTCCAAATGAACACTATTTCTGTTTTCCTCCTCAACTCCTTTTGAGGAGTGGATAATTTAGTGCAAGAACTCCCTCCACCCCAAGTACCTGGAGTGATAGCCTTAAAAAAGGAAACCTTTGCAAACACCACATAAAATATTCAGATTGTTACCTTATATAACCTTATATCTAAAAAAAAGATGTTATTAGGTGCTGCACAATGACTACACTCATAGTGTCCCTATAATAGCATATCTGAACTTTGGACTACCCTGTGCGGTCCTCATCATCCCCCTTGAGCCCATTACTACAGTCAGTCCTTCTTGTTGAAGGTCTTTCTTTCTTTTGCTGACTTTCTACCTTTCCAAGCATAAAGTCTTTTTCCAAGGATTGCTGTTGTTGTTGCTAGGTGCCATCAAATTGAGTATTACTCATAGTGATCCTGTGGACAGGATCTGAACCCTCTGCCATCCCCACATCTCTAACACACTCATGTCCTTTGCTGCAGTGACTGTGTCAAATCAGTTGGTTGAGGGTCTTCCTCTCTTTGCCGTCCCTCCACCTTCCCAAGTGTGATGGATAGACCTCATACTTTGGTTGTGGCTTTATTAATTTCTATTTAAAGTTGAGCATCCTTTCATATTAAAAGGAAGTAATAGAGATAACATAACCTTTGTGTAAGAAATAACTTGCACCCGAAAGTCAAATCTTGTTGGTAAAATAGCTCGTTTCACTGCTGACTTGTTGAAACCAACTCATAACTGACCCTCTAGCAGGTCTTCAGAGGCTATAGATTCTATGAGAGGAGATTGATCATCTTTCTCTCAGTGGCACTGGTGGATTTGAACCACCACATAGATAGTGCTTTTGGATTGGTAGCACAACCCCCTGTGGGGTATACCACTAGGCAGATATTGGTAAAGTAGGAGAGAATAAAAAAAAAATTTTCCTTTTTCAGATTCTAAATTTCCAATTCTTACAAATCACTTATTTAAAATAACTTTGCTATTTCACATTAATAGAAATGAAATTTTATCTGCTTTATATCATGTGGATTTTTGTTTGTTCCACATTTATTAAGTCTCAGGCAACAAATTTTATCTTTTTTTTTATCCTTCTGAAAATTGGCAATTAAAATGTTGCTGGAACTTTTATAGGCATTAAGGAACATGATACATATATAGAGGAAATAAAGAATTGCACAATTATTGATAAAATGTTTTTAATGCGTTCTTCTCCTCTCCCTCATGCCCACCCCTTACACGTGGGGAATATTTTCTATAGATTTGGCACCGTCTTTTATTTCTGAGCCACTCTCTGCTGTCCAGAAACTTGGTGAACCTGTAGTATTACATTGTTCTGCTGAACCCATGACTGCTCATATCTCATGGTTGCTTAATGGAGAAAGATTGGATCGAAATGTGGGACACATTAAGATTCATCAGGGGACTTTGACCATCGTTTCTCTTAATCCTTCCCTTTTGGGACACTACCAGTGCATTGCTAATAATAGCATTGGTACTGTTGTGAGTGCCCCTGCAAGAATCTCCCCTGCAGGTGAGTTTCATTTGGTGTCTGTTATGTGTGTTTCCTGAAGCCTCTATTTATACAGTGTTTGTATTTGTGAATATTGAGAAGAACTTGGGCTTTGCTGTCAAATCCTCCCAGTAGGAATTCTTTGTTGTGCGAATAGCTTTAAACCTCAGCAAGCACAGTATCTTCAGCTGTAACAAGATACGGAAATTATTTGGTTGGTTTTTTTAAGGATACGTACACAGTAAGGATCATTTTCTAATGTGCATTCTGAATAATTTCTTTGTAAGTTTTTAAAAGTCCCTAACTTTGTTGTTAAATTGTTGTTTCACACTAAGTAATTTTATGCAGTTCTTTATCCTTTTTTTCCCATCTAATTGTTTTATTTCTCTTGATCACTGAGTTATTTTAATTTAAATAATTGAAAGCAGACTAAAACAGCGGGGGATAAATAACTGACTGTAAGGAAAGGAAGGCTAAGAACGGAACTTACGGAAAATCTGGAGTGAGTGGTTTTATTGGTAAACTTCAGGCATCTTCCTTTCAAACGGTGATGGCTTCCAGTAATGGAAAACTTCTTTATAAGGACACCCCTATCTACAGAACAAATTTGGATCCCCCTAGTGAGTTTGTCAAAACTGAGAAGAGTAAATGTTTTTGCAGAGCTATGACCCATGGACAGCTCCAAGATACAACTGGAGAGCTGGATTCCTAGTGACAGCTGTTGAGTGCTATGCACTGGGGATGATAAAGAAGCTCGGAAACTTCCTCTATCTTCAGAACTTAAAACAAGAGCAGTTGAAACCCAGAGACAATATACAGATAATTCAAATGATAGTACAACTTACTTTTCATGTCTTAAGTTAATATGGTAATGTGAGCAGGTTCAAGCAGAATAATTAATTATATATACAGAAAGTGAGGGGTTTTTAATATCTTTTTAAAATATTAATTTTAATGAACATTTACAGAGATTTTGGATTTCCATTCATTCATTGTTTCACTTTTCTCCCTGCCCACCCTGCCCCCCAGTTCGTTCCTCAGAGAGTGAGTTTTAATGAACAACTAACTGATTGAAGAGGACTTATCTTTGCAGAATGAGAATAATTATGCTTTATCATTCTCAATTATGTTTTTTCTCTTTTAAGGTCTGTGTGTGATGTCTTAAGAGCTGTGTGTTTTTCAGTCCCTTACAAGCAATACATTCTGAGAAAGTGTGACATGGATTTCTTTAGCTGTCAGTCCTCAGCCATGCACACCTGGGTTCCTTGCTGTCTCAGATGGAAACACTGTGCACTCCTTGGGTTGTGATTAGCTGCCACCAGAGGCCATGTATAGATGTTTTGAATTTTTTTCATTTTCCTTTAGAAACAGAATAAATTTGTATTTATTTATTTACATATTTAATTTTTATTTTAGTTCTTGGCAATTTTGATTCATTACCAAAGAATGTTATTACAGCAGAAGAAAAAAGTGCTGGTTTCATTGGCTGCAAGGTACCAGATAGTAACCCCAAGGCTGAGGTGCGTTATAAAATTCGAGGGAAATGGCTCAAGCATTCCACAGGTGAGACATTTTCTAGAAAGCCAATGATGCATGCAGGATAAGCAGTAGCCAGCTGTTGAGCTCTGTACCATAGAGCTCTGTGGGTACAGTAAATCCAGAAACAGATGTATTGTCTCTGCTCTTAGGAAACCTAAGAGGAATAGGCTTAAATAGGAATAGGTCAGAGTATACAACTAATTCTGATTTAGTACCTGCAGGAGTTGATCTTTAAGCCATTCAGTCTCTGCTCAGCAGGCAGCCTTCCGAGAAAACCATACTGGTAGCTCTTTCACTCTTCGTCCCCTTGACTTAGCTGTGCTTGTCTTCAGAGAATTAATCATACTAGCTAGCCATTGCTAATTGCTTGTCCTTGCCTCTGCCATGCCACCTTCCTTACACTAGGCTGTAAGAGTGCTTTGTTTGCTGTGTCGCTTCACTCATGCTTTGGCAATCATCTGGCAGAAAATAAGTACACAGCACATACTTGGTGGGGAAAAATCAAGACAAATGATTAAAAAATTAATGAATATCATAAGATCATTGTTGGAGCAACAGGTTTGCTCAAGGTGATAAAGATGCTGTCTGGGTGCAAAAGGGTCCTGAAGGTCCACACAGCAGTATCATGGAAGAAAGCCAGGAAGTCTGTTTTCGGGAAGACAGTTCCTGTTTGTCATCAAGTGTTTTCTAACTCCTGGCAACCCTATGTACCATTGGTTGGGTCCATGGATCTTTTGGTTTGTAGCCAAGCACTTAACAATTTGCACCACCCAGGGATTCCAGTCAACTAAGATGACAGCCAAGAAAACCCAGAGGAGCATCTCCAGTTGTAACACCTGGGGCCCCCCTGAGTGGCCATCACTTCAATGGCAATGAGTTTGTTTTTGTTATGGTTTATATTTTATTTTTCTCATTGTTCCTTAGGACTTTTTTGCAATTGTGATTTTAATGAAAATTTACAAAAAGTTGGATTTTCATTCTTGAACTGTTGCATCTTTTCCTCCCTTCCTCTTCCCTGTTACTGTTTTTAAAAGGATGGGAATTTATCTGAGTTTAACAACATTTCTTCTTTTTGCACTATTCTTAATGAATGGTCTGTTGTTAAAATGTTTATAATAGAGTTGATTTTTTCTTAATTGTTTGCTTGCTGCTTGTCTTGCGTCTAAATTTCAAACCTAGTTTGTGATTTGAACCAGCTAGTTGCTACTTTATGGTATTACTGTAGTCTGTAGTGTCCCTCATTAAAGGACAATGCCTAACTGCATGCCCCTCCTTCCTTCCTCAGATAAATACTTGATTCTTCCATCAGGAAATCTTCACATTTTAAATGTATCCTTAGAGGACAGGGGAACATATAAATGTGCAATTTATAATTCTGTCACTCAGGAATTGAAAGTTGAATCCACTGGCCAGAAGCTCCTTGTGAATCGTAAGTATCTGAGGGAATAATGGGAACTAGAATAATCCTCAGAAAATCATTCTTCATAACAAAGTTGGGAAATGAGAATCCATTTATCCTTTAGATTCTTTTTCTTTATCATAAGAAAATATTTTTTTAAAGTAGACACTAATACATTGTAGACATGTAATAAATTTAGTAGATATTTTAAAAATATAACAGTTTTGCAGTCAGGAACTGACAGGGGTCAATATGGTAGTAAATATATGTGCAAAACATTTTTTGCCCTTAAAAAAGAAAATAGTAGAGAAAATATAAATTCATAGGAGTGTTAAGCATATTGGTGGTCGCTGCTATTAAATTTTATGTTAAAATTCATTCTGGTTAAAGCACTCTAGTGGCCTAGAGGTAAAGAATCTGTATTGTAATCTTAAATGCACATGGTTCAAATCTGCCAGCCACTCTGAAGGAGAAGGCTGGCAATCTCCTCCCTTGCGATTGATTTTAGCTTCTGAAAACCCGCTAGAGGGACAACTATTAGTTGATTCCAACTCAGTGGTACACAGTTACATGTTAAAAAATATACCTGTTTTGTTTTAACCCAGATTTTTTGATAAAGATAACTGAGAAGCATCAATGCTCAGAGCAGAGTAAAGTAGTGGTTTCTGCATGGCTTAAGAATTCTACACTAAATCACTAATTCAAAAATACTCTTAGAAGACCACGAAGTCTTTTGATTTTTATCTAAAAATTACTTTGCTATGACATAAGACCTTGTGATTTTAAGGAGAACAAATTGAAAAATTCTTTTCCTCCCTCCACTGTTTTGATTCTTTATTGTTACTTTTTGTTGAAAAAAATTAGGGTATAAGAAAAAGGACAGGAGAAAATGACACATAATTATTAAACTGCCTCATTTTTTCAGTTTATGACAATTATGTGTTCCCAGACATTATGTGTTCCCAGAGACTGAAAAAAAAAAAAATCCTAAAAAAACTATATCAAAACACTGAAACAAAACAACCGTTAACATCAATCCTGGTCTATATACTAAATATATTAAGACAGATAAATTTCTTGTTTTCTTAAAAAAAATAAAACCATTGAAAGTCATTTAATTAAAAACTAATTCAGAAGAGGACTCAAAACTTTCATTATAGTTGTGTTTTTAAGACATTTCTGAATGATTTGGACCTACAACCTAGGGACATTATTTTATTTTGCCAAGGTTTATTACAGCAGGCTTTAAAAAACCTACACTATACACTAACAGTAAATACTAAATAACTGAATGTTGTCAGGTTTTCAACCCCTTAAGATTTCAGCTGCCATCAGGGTATAATTTCCAACATGTCAGTGATTTGTAATTCATCCAGCATTTATAAGCTCAACAGAAGTCAAATTTCCCCTATAACTGGGAGGCATCCTTTCCATTTTTAACCCACATTCTGCTGGTGAGATCTGAAGCTCAGGGCCTCCAACTTCATTTCCTTCAGTTATACAAGTTAGTTTTATATTATCTTGTCAAAGGTCTTTTCTCAGATGTCTGCTCTAATTAAAAAGAAAACACACCAACAACTGAAGATCTAAAAAAAAAAATCTTAATATGTTTTGCTGTCCCTTCTTTTTTGCAGGCCTTTCTTCAGGCTATGTTCACATTCTTCATCCCACCCTGTCGCAGGCACTGGCTGTTATTTCTCATAGCCCTGTAACCCTGGAGTGTATAGTGAGGGGGGTGCCCGCTTCTCAAGTACGCTGGTTGAAGGATGGTCAGGATGTTGTGCTGGGAAGCAGGTGGAGAAGGCTGTATTCTCATCTTACCACTGATAGCATTGATCCAATGGATGCAGGGAACTATTCTTGTGTGGTGGGAAACACATCTGGAGACCTGAAACATGTGACTTATGTGGTGAATGTGCTTGGTAAGATATTACTTACTTTCTGTCCTCCACCTTCAAACAGGCTGTTTTCTGGTCTAATGGACATTTCGGTGGAAGATCTGTTTGTGTATCTAGAAAAGCCAATATGAGTAGCTGAACAAGTTTTTCTCAAGGACTGCTGAATTAGGCAGTATTTCTGAGTGACACAAAGCATCATTTCACATGAGATATTCTAGGGAACTTTGTCCTCAACTGGTTATATAACACAGAGCTTGTTCCTTCATGGCATGGTAGAAAAGGAACTGGAAATTGCTAGAGTCATGACGAGAATTTCTGAGCTCTATTAGTGGGTGGTATTCAGGATATGTGAAAAGACATTTTCTTGACTAGAAAATACCACCTCAAAAAAAAAAATTGTTCTTGTTACTTTCCCCTTTTGAGGGAATATGTGATTCAAAAGTTTTGTGTATGTATATATGTAAAATCAACCTTATCTATCTCAGAGTTATTCTTTTTTTTCTCTCTGATGTCCACCTCACTATTAAGTGTTGCAGCAGTGAATGTTTTCCTCTTGAAAATGTATTTTTGTGAAAACCAAAGAAAAATGAGTAAGGGATAGATTACTAGTGCTCTGCTGTCCTAATGGTAAGGAATTGCACTATTAACATGAAGGCACACAGTTTAAATCAACCAGCTGCTCTGTGGGAGAAAAGTGGGCATTTTCTTCTTGTGATTTATTGCTCCTAAAAACCCACTGGAGAGTCATCTATGAGTTGCTAGATGCTTCATAATGATATGAATTTTGTATTCTACTTTGAATTTTTTTGTAGATTCTCTTCAGGTGTGTATTTCTGCTGTTGCCCTAACATAGAACTGAAGTATGACTGTATGGTAAATAAATTTAAAATTCAATGATAAACAATATTGAGTTAATATACATAATTATTTGATTTGAGCATATGGTGCAGATATTGATGATTGATGACTGTGTAGATAAAAAGTGACTAAATATGGAATGGAACTCAAAAAACAGTGAAGACCAACTTTCCTGGTCCTGGAGTGTCCAGTGTTAGGTATCCACTGCTAACCCAAAGGCCATGCCTCTCTGTCAGGTTGAATCTCCCAGTGGCTCCTCAGAAGGAATATGGGCAGTCTCCTTCCATGCTGTGCAATTTACAGCTTCACAGACTCACTAGAGGGCCAGCTCTGAGCTGGTTCTGACTTGACAGTAAGACTGTTGTTGGGTGCCATTGCATGGTTACAGCTCATAGCAAACCAATAAACAAATACTGAACCTTGCTGGATCTTGCACCATTCTCACCATCCCTACTATGCTCAGCCAATTGTTGCAGTCTCTCTAAATCCATATATCTCATTGAAGGTTTTATTTTTTTTTCTCTCTGACCCTATACTTTTCCCAGAATGGTGTTTTTTGTTTTTTTTTGGTTTATTTGGTTTTTTTTACTACATGCTCAAAGATGTGACATGAAGTCTCACCATCCTTGCATCTAAAAAGCACCTGGGTTGCACTTTCTCCAAGATAGTGTGTTTTTTTGTCAGTCTTTGGTATATTCTGTACTCTTCTCTAACATCACAATTCAAAGACAAAAATTCCTTCTGTCTTTTTTATTCATTTTCCAACTTTCGAATGCATATTGAAAATAACATGGCCTGGGAAAAGTACAACATAACTTAAGTCTTTAAACTGACATACTTGCTCTTTTGCACTTGAAAGAGGTCCTTGACAACAGATTTGCCCAATGCCTATGGTATTAGTCATCCTTCAACTTTCAGCCAAACAATAGACAAATATATCTAAAAGGTAATGAATAACACACTCTTTAAAATAACCAACCATATAAAGAAAGAAGGGCAGGATTTACCTTGAAAGCAGGAAGGGGTAGGATAGAAAGATTAGTAGAAATGAGAATTACAAGGAGAAAATAGAAAATTGTCATTATGACAGGGAATTATCAGAAATACAAGCTGGGTTTAGAAGAGTCTGGACACTAGGGACATCATCACCGAAGTCAGATGAATCTTGGCTGAAAGCAGAGAATACAAGAGGAATGCCCATCTGTGTTTCATTGACTATGAAAAGGCTTTTGACTCTATGGATCACAACAAACTGTGGCTGACCTTGAGAAGAATGGGAATCCCAGAACATCTTATTGTTCTCATACAAAACCTCTATTTGAACCAGGATACAGTTGTCAGAACAGAACAGGGAAACACTGCATGGTTCAAAATCAGGAAGGAGTGCATCAGGGATCCAGATCATTTGAAATGCTGGACTTTCTGAGGAGGAATGTAGCATCAGGATTGGAGAAAGACTCATCAACAACTTGCATTAGGCAGATAACACAACCTTGCTTGTTGAAACTGAAAAGGACCTGAAGGGCTTGCTGCAGAAAATCAAGGACTGTAGTCTTCAACATGGATTGAAGCTCAACATCAAGAAATCAGAGATTCTCACCACTGGGCCAGTTGGTAGCACCATGATAGGTAGAGATTAGATTGAGATTGTTAACAATTTCAGCTGGCTGGATTCCACAGTCAATACTCTTGGCACCAGCAGTAAAGAAATCAAAAGACAAATTGCAATAGGAAAATCTGCTGGCAGGGACCTCTCCAGAGTGCTGAAGAACAAGGATGTCAGTCTAGAGACTAATGTGTCCCTGATCCAGGTCATAGCCTTTGTAACTACTTGCTTTGCGAAAGCTGGACAAAGATGACAGAAGAAAGACTGTTTTGAGTTGTGGTGCTGGAGAAGAATATTGAACATACTACGGAGTGCCAAGAGAATAGCTGTGTCTCGGAGAGGTTGAAACCAAGCTAATCCTTGGAGACAAGGATTTTGAGACTCCTTCTCACGTACTTTGGACATGTAACCAGGAAGGAACAGTTTTTGGAGAAGGACATCATGCTTGGAAAGGTAGAGAAGAGGAAGATCTTGGATTGACATAGTAACTGGGTTAATGAGGGTAAATGTGTCAGAGACAGTGATATTGGCTCAGGATAGACCAGATTCAGAGTTATTGTGCATAGGGTTGCTAAGAGAGGTAGTTGACTCTATAGCACATAATAATAATTATAGTTTATGCTATAAAACAAAGTGTGTAAATGGTTGAATAGAAAAACCAATTTGCTTGGTAAACTTTCACTCAGATCATAGTAAGAAAAACAAATCTACAAAAGGAAAAAATGGATTTTTTTAAAAAAAAGAATGACATTAAAGGACTTAAAGAAATTTTGTGCATAGTATATACCCAGCCTGGCAATAGAGAATGGACCTTTCCAGACATATTATTCTGTATTTGTTCTTATTTAGCCAGGAAAACTTTCTTTTAAATGGATTGCCTGGAACAAATGTTAATAGAAGTCCAGGTTTTGAAACTATGTATATTAGGGACAAAGGAGTGAGAGGACAGAGAAAGCTGTTTAAAAAGGAGACTATAATTTATTAGTAACCTGGTTTATCCTATTAAATGAAAGTTAAAACTCATTTCTAATGTCTTCTTGATGATCACAGCAGATGGGAGAATGCAAATAAACATAACAGTTTGGTTTCAAGTAGTTATTGGTAGAGAGAAGATTTTAAATGGCTCATGGGACAATTTTAAAAGTCCGTCTTGAGAACTAGAGTTTAATTTGTGTGTTTTACTTTCAGAACATGCTTCCATTTCTAAAGGATTGCAAGATCAGCTGGTGTCTCTAGGTGCCACGGTCCATTTTTCCTGTGATGTTCATGGGAATCCAGCACCCAGATGTACCTGGTTTCATAATGCGCAGCCCATTCATCCTTCCCCACGACATCTATCTGCAGGAAATGGACTCAGAATCAGTGGGGTTACCATGGAAGATTCTGGACTCTATCAATGTGTAGCTGATAACGGTATTGGATTTATGCAGTCTACTGGAAGACTTGAAATTAAAGGTACACTTTTAGGTCATGTTGTACAGGAAATTTTACTTATCTGTAGACTTCTGTTCTAATTAAGAATGAAATTATTTTTATTAAAAGAAACTAACCCTGTCACCATCACAGAACTGTGTTCATTTTCCGTATGCTCAGCTGCCCCTAGTTCATACAGACATTTTCCTGTCAAGCTAATTTGAAAATGTTGTTGTTGTTGTTGTTGTTGTTGTTGTTGTTATGTGCCGTCGAGTTGCTTGCAACTCATAGCGACCCTATGTACAACAGCCCTAAACCCTGCTCTATCCTGTGCCAATCTCACTGCCTCCGAAACACCCATCCCGATTACCCCAGTCACTGAATCAATCCACCTCATAGAGGGTCTTCCCCTCCTGCACCGTCCCTCCACCCTACCAAGCATAATGTCCCTCTCCAAGGACCTCTCCCTCCTTACAACATGTCCAAAGTATGTCAGACGAAGCCTCAGAATCCTTGCCTCCAAGGAGTAGCCTGGTTTAACCCTTTCTAGGATGAATCTGTTTGTTTTCTTGGCAGTCCATGGTACATTCAATACTCTTCTCCAGCACCACAGCTCAAAGGCATCAATAATTTGAAAATATTTGTTAAAAATTTAAAATATATGTCATTTACAAGGGTGTATGGCTAAAAATCTATCTTTTACTGGGTTCCTCGGGTAACTAGCTCTCTTTTTCAGAATTAACTAGTTTGATCACTTTCTTGAATAGCTGTGTATGTACATATATAATTACACACATGGGTATGTATAAAAATAGTTTTGAGTTCTTCCCCAACCCAAATAAATGACAGTAATATTCTTTGCCTTTGATTTTTCACTTACCATTTATCTTTGGTGTCTTCTCATGTGGTTCATGAAAAGATAATCTTGTCTCTCTTTTAAGTAGCTGCTTAGTATTCCTTTGTATAATTTTACTGATATGACTAAGATCTCACTGATCCATTTTTATTGTTGAAAAATTAGTTTATTGCAACCCTACAGGACAGAGTAGAACTGACCTATAAAGTTTCCAAGACTTTAAATCTCTATGAAAGCAGGCTGCTTTGTCTTTCTCCTGAGCATTAGGTCTTTATTCTGCTTTCTGATTGGAACAACTAACTTTTTAGTTGACAACTAACCACTTTAACCACACACCTCTAGGGCTCCTGCCTTATTTGATGACTTTTTCTAAACTTTTGTAATTATTCTGTTGTTATATACCTTCAAGTTGGAAGATGCACGTAACTGACCCTCCAGTAGGTTTTCAGAGGCATTAAATGACACAGGAGGAGATTGGCCATCTTTCTCTGGTGGAGCAGCTGGTGGATTCCAAGCACCTACTCTGCATTGACAGCACAATTCCTCACTACCAAGCCACCAAGCCCCAGTTGTTGTTGTTGTTATGTGCCGTCGAGTCGTTTCCGACTCATAGTGACCCTATGCACAACAGCCCTAACCCTGCTCTATCCTGCGCCAACCACACCGCCTCTGACACACCCATCCCGATTACCCCAGTCACAGAATCAATCCATCTCATAGAGGGTCTTCCCCTCCTG